GAATTAAAATTCAAATTTGAGTGACTTTCTGAGAAAGAAGTGCATAGTTGAGTGACTTTTTAGTGAGAATTGAAAGTTGAGTGACTTTCTGAGAGAAGAGTGCATAGTTGAGTGACCATCTAAGGTATTAACTCGTCAAAACCCCAAAGTAGGTGAGTCCAAATTTCTGTCCCGGCGGACAGAAAACCCAGATTTAGACCCAAATCTCTCTCTCTCTCTCTCTCTCTCCCTCTTTACGTGCTTTAATTATCTGTTTGGTTGCCGTTATTCTTAAGGTTAGAAAATCCGAACCCCGCAAACGCCGTTTTATTTTACAACTTAAATCAAGTTCAAGTAAATTCAAAAAAATAAAATTCTAAAAATTAGAAAGTAGATGCAAGTTAAGTTTTCATTTCTCAAACAACTCTAAATAGTTTTGTTTAAGTCAAGTTTTAGCCAAATTGAGTTAGTTGTTGGATAACCGTATTAAGCGGGTATTTTAGGTGTCTTAAACAATTTCCTAAAATACAATATGAATCCCCGAACCCCCTAAAATGTTTTCATTAGATCTTTCTGTTTGAAGTCTTTTTGAAAATAAAAGTTTTTCTTAATTTTCTCAAAATTAAGTGGCGACTCTAAAAAAGTCGAAAATTCTTAAAATAAATTGTTTTTCCTTTTTTGATAAAACATTTGTAATCTGGCGAGGGAGAGGAAGGAAAGAGACGAACGAGAGAGGACAAAGAGTGGAGAGAGACTAATTGTATATGAATATTTTGTCATATGATTGTGTGTATATATATGTGTATGTATAATTTATATTTGTATATGTATAAGTGACATAATTACAACTAAAATGACGCCGTGAGCCGTAACTTAATTCAAACTATAGCTATGCTAGCTAATAAACTAGTATATATTTACTTATTAAAGTAATTTTCTCTAAATTTAATTGGTACATAAAGCGGTCAAATTGGATAAGAAGATAAAATATGTATAATATTTGATAGTATTGGTGCCCAAACACATAGAGAGTAATTATCGGTATATATTATGGTAGAAAATTTTGTATCAAACAAAAATGTGTTAGATAATTTTTCTTTTATACCTAATCTTCGCCAATATTTGTTGGAAATAACAAGGAACCTATGTTTTAATTTATCTGATACATTTTTTTCTTAATTCCATTTCAAAAGGAATAATATATTCCATTCTTTAACAAATATTTAATAACACAATGATCAACATTTTACCAATGTTGAATTTCACCTATTTGACAAAAAGGTTAGAAAGATGTACCGTTCTATTTAATTAGAATAACACATTTCATTATTAACTAATAATTTTTAACTTTAAAATATCTAATTTATCCTTAATGAAATGATTTATAGTCGAACAAATATCTATCATTTATTTTAGATCACAAGTTTCAAAATTTTCTTTCTTCTTAAACTCAGTGTCAAGTTAAATCAACTCATATAAAATGAGATATCTAATTTATCGTTAATGAAATGATTTATAGTCACACAAATATCTATCACTTATTTTAGACCACAAGTTTCAAAACTTTCTTTTTCTTAAATTTTGTGTCAAATTAAATTAACTCATATAAAATGAGACAGAAATAATAGTTTAGTCCAAGGTGCAAGCTGCTATAGTGGCTAATGTAGGCACCCACTTTTCTACCTGATCGAAGATAGGGCTTAGATTTCAAACAGTATAATTGGCTAATTTAAGATTTCGAGCAACTAAATGTTCAAAAAAAAAAGGAGCACTTATGCATTAATTATTAACCTTAGTTAATTATGTATTTTCAATCTAATCGTTAAATATTGAGATCAAATTGTCTTGTTTAGTAAGTTGAATGGTACTTTTAATTTCACACTTCAACTTACCCGGTGATGCAAAAAGGACCTTAATTTATCTGAGAGGAGACACTCAATGGATAAGCTTACTATGCATCAAACAAAAAAAACGAAAGGAAATTTTCTGTTTTCTTTGTTATATATATACCTCGTTTTACGTACGAAGTGTTGAGTTTTAAAGGTGTGAATGAGAAGTGAAGGGATGTGACTCTCATAAATAGTTATGACTTTTACGAAGGATTGTGAACTTTAGGAAAAATTGTGTCTTTTTTTAAAGTTTGTGGTTATTCTAAATGTTATACATTTTCCAAAGGGCTATAACCTTCGTGAAAGATGTTCTTTTTCTAAAGAGCTGTGACCTTTTCGATAAGACACGATTAACATTTTTTTACTATCCTTTGTTGGCTATAAATAGAGATTTTTTCTCGTTTTTCTGTATTGAATTCATCCCTTCTTCAGCATATATTTCTTATCAAACAAAAGCAATAATCATCTCCGTGTGTGATCTCGTTATTTTCTATTTGAGTTAGTTGAAATTATTAAAGTTTGAGGTATCAATACTTTTTTAATGGTTAATATATTTAATCGTAAGAGAAACTATTTTACAATCTCAAGTACTTGATGGAATTAAATTTTTGAAGGACAGAGAATAAGTTAGAATGTGGATTCAAATAGTTTTTTTCCTTTTGTTTTGTCTTTTATGATTTCTAGTTTGATAATTTAAATACAGAGAAGATAACATATACTTATTGTAGATGATAGATATTCGACAAATAATCCAAAGACACTCAATGCACAAAGTTATGGTGGGAATAGGAACATAATGTACGTAGCCACCTATGTTTGACAAAAGATGTTCCCTTTTAAGTGCTAGATACCCCTAGGTGCATGTTCCTTTAGTGGGTTATGGCAAGAATGGGCAAAGGGACGACAGCTCTAGAGGAACCCAATTTTGGTAAGTTGCTTCATTTTAATCATACTTATTGGTACTTGATATTTAGTCCAATAGGTACGCCTTAATTAGTCAATGACAAGACTTATTTTATTCATTTTGCATTTCTGTATGTAAAAGGTGATTAAGTTAGTAGTTTTCACATGTTAAGCCTTTGTGCTAAAGAAAAAAAAGTCATATTTACCCTAATGCATTTATTTCTCATGTCCCACCTTAATTATGTGGTGCTTCTATGATACTCTTTTTATTTTTCAGTTAAATTTATTGATCCACTTAAAACTCTTTTGATTTGCCTGACAATTCACTAAGAAAAACTTCATTATTCATTTATGTAATGACCTAATTAATCAATTTTGGAAAGTTTTGTGAATAGATCGTTTTTCTCCTTTCAATATCAACTCCAAATCTTTTATGAGTGAGTTTAGAATGCTAGTATAGAACTTGAGTTCAAACGTAAGGATTTTGTAAGTTTTGAGTTTGAAAGACAAATAGTGTTAACAAAGTAACTTTTAGTGTCTGTTGTAGTTTCGAGTGTCAAGAATAGAATTCCACGGAGTCCATCGGTCCCAGAATGTGGGATCTAATTTATGAGAATTATCGTTTCAGATTTGGAGTCTTTTTGAGCAATTGAGGTTCTAAGTTGTGAAATTGAGGTTCGAATACTCCGATTATTTTGAGAGTTTCATTGGATTCAGGGGATGATTTTAGACCTACGTGAGGTCTTGGTTAATTTTTTAGAGGTTCCAGGCTTGTTTTAGCTTTTTTAGCGTTGAGTTGGTTTTTTTGTGATTTTCACAAATGTAGGATCAAGAGACCTCTAATTTGCGTTTTGACAGTTTCATTGAGTCTGAAACTCGAGTATGATTGATTTTCATATATGGTTTATGTGCACGGGGTTCCGAACAAATCCCGGAGTTCCTTTCGATGTTTGAGGAGTTGGTTGATTTTTTTTGGTGTCCACGTACTTTGTGTTAGTGATGCATTGATCGCTTAAGCGAGCATCACTTTCACGAAGGATGGGTCG